TGATAGTTTTTTTTTTTGAAGGGGGGGGGGTGTAAAAATTCACAGGTACTCGGGTCTTGGTTTATGAATATGTATGTACCTTTTTGATATGTAAAAAATGTACTTTACCTTTTTTACATATCAATAAGGTACATACATATATATAAACCAAGACGCAAGTACCTTTGTAAAAATTAGCTTTTAACGCCCTATGAATAGGCCGAGTATTTGACACAAAAGACTGTATACAGAAAAAAAAAACTGAAATGTATCGATTAAAGCACAAAATTTTACAGCTTTAATTGTATTTGAGCAATATCTTATTCATAAATTTCTCTTTTCATGTAAGCAATTTTATTACGAAGTAGAAATTGTACTTCGGGTTCGTTGCCACGATGCTCTCACAGTGATGAATATACTACACATTTTACCAATAAATTTATTAGGAAAACCTACTACATGTACATATATCTAATAGTCTTTCGATATATAAATATATTCACAACTTATAGTGTTATCAATGATTTACCATTATTTCAATGACCATTCACACATAACCTTTTTTGTGTTCCTGCAGCTATGATCGTCTCGTTTTTCTTTTTAACATCGGGCTCGATGCTATATGATGTTCTAGAAGCTTCCGTCAATATTAAGATCGGTGAATGACAAAAATAATTTGCACATTTCCCTTTTTAATCGGTTATCACAACTTATTTCTTTTATGTCATTTAAATCAAGTTTTGATTGAATAATTCAGTGATGACGTTTTATGAAATAAGTAAACGATTGATTGTTGTCAGTTTCATTGAAAATTGCCAGAAACTTAGATCCGCCAACCGGAAACGCCACCGTACTCATGTTTTTGCTATTTCATGGCTTTTTATAGAAAATAAAAGTAGACTTTTAATTTAATGCACGATACTTACAATGCCAGTGAAATCTAAATATAGTTTACGGACATCATATTGTATCTAGTGTATTCTTAGAGGAGTAAGTAAAAACTCTGGTACATCGGTTTCGGAGTTTATTTGCAAAATTTATAGATTTATAAGTATAGATATTCATATATAAAGCTTTGATCGCCTGTTCTAGGCATACCCTACCCCAAGGTGCCATGTTTTGAATGAAATTGAATATAAACCTTCTGAGGATGCTTCTATCTTCATATAACTAATCATGATTTTGCTGTTCTTTAAAACAGAATTTTAAATATGTCTAACACCCTACCCTGGGGGGGGGGGGGGATATTTGAACAAACTTGATTGTACACTACCTGAGGATGCTTCCATATCAATATGACTGATCATGGCTTTGTTGTTCTTGAGATTGAAGAAGATTTTTAAAGATATTTCCTGTATATGTTCTATTGTAAAACTTTGATCCCCCATTATGGCCCCATCCTACCACTGGAGGATGCCTTAAACTAGCTTGAATCTACAATATTTGGGGAAGATTCCATATCAATATGACTAATTGTGGCTTTCTTGTTCTTGAAAAGAAGATTTTTAAAGATTTTCCCTATATATTCCTATGTTAAACTTTGATCCCCCATTGTGGCCCCACCCTACCCCCGGGGGTCATGATTTGAACAAACTTGAATCTACACTGCTTGAGGATGATTCCATATCAATATGACTAATTGTGATTCTGTTGTTCTTGAGAAGAAGATTTTTTTTCTATATATTCCTATACAAAACTTTGATCCCTCCTTGTGGCTCCACCCTACCCCCAGGGGTCATGATTTGAACAAACTTGAATCTACACTACCTGAGGATGATTCCATATCAATATGACTAATTGTGGCTCTGTTGTTCTTGAGAAGAAGATTTTTTAAGATTTTCCCTAAATATTCCTATGTAAAACTTTGATCCCCATTGTGGCCCCACCCTACCCCCGGGGGTCATGATTTGAACAAACTTGAATCTACACTACTTGAGGATGATTCCATATCAATATGACTAATTGTGATTCTGTTGTTCTTGAGAAGAAGATTTTTTTTCTATATATTCCTATACAAAACTTTGATCCCTCCTTGTGGCCCCACCCTACCCCCAGGGGTCATGATTTGAACAAACTTGAATCTACACTACCTGAGGATGATTCCATATCAATATGACTAATTGTGGCTTAGTTGTTCTTGAGAAGAAGATTTTTTAAGATTTTCCCTATATATTCCTATGTATAACTTTGATCCCCCATTGTGGCCCCACCCTACCCCTGGGGGTCACGATTTGAACAAACTTGAATCTACACTATGTAATGAAGGTTTCACATAAGTATAAACTTTTCTGGCTCAATGGTTCTTGAGAAGAAGATTTTTAAAAGATGACACCAAATTTTCACCAATTCTTAATTATCTCCTCTTGGAAGTGGGCGTGGCCCTTCATTTGAACAAACTCGAATCCCCTTCACCCAAGGATGCTTTGTGGCAAGTTTGGTTGAAATTGGCCCAGTGGTTCTGGAGAAGAAGTCGAAAATGTGAAAAGTTTACGGACAGACATACAGACAGACAGACGGACTACAGACAAACTGTGATCAGAAAAGCTCACTTGAGCTTTCAGCTCAGGTGAGCTAAAAAGTAAGGTCAAAGGAAAGGTCAAGGTCAAAAAATATTGATGCAGTTGAATACTTTATATCAGTATGTATCAGCATATGAAGTTTGACGCTAATTTAAGAAAAGTGAGCCAAGGTCAAAGGAATTGTCAAGGTCAGAAAATGTTGAAGCAGTTGAATAGCTCTCATCAGTACAGTCCCTCAGATGTTCTACTTTCTCACTTGAACGGTGAGCGAACGCAGAGCGAACGGTGAATGAATGCAGAGCGAACGGTGAATGAACGCTGAACAAACGCTGAACGATGTGTGAATGCTGAACGCAATTTTGTGAACGGTCGGTGAACAGTGAGCAAACGCAGAACGCAAACGGACAAAAAATTCGAGCGCAAAATGAACAGTGAATGATCTGTGAATGCAAGATAAACGATTTATTCGGAATGTCTCTGATCTTTGCCTTGCATTGTATGCATTCTTCTTTATTCTATTGTTAGGTGCAAAAACATCAACACATCTCGTAAATAAATTAATTTTGGAATGCCAACATTAGCATACTATGTTAAAAATGGTTCTAAACACTTCCAGAACAAATAATTAAATAAATAAATAAATCATTAAATAAATAAATGTTTCCACATTATCATGAGAAAATGCACATTAAGTACGCCTATTATTTGTGTTTCTTACAATATTTTCAGCACATATGTTTAAATTAAGCTGTTTAGTCACAAAAGATTTATTGCTGTTACACATTGATATTAATACAAAATTCTGTAGTCAAAGTAGAGAAATTACAAGGATATGTGTGTTTCCATAAGGAGGTGATTCCATGTAAAATAAAGTGCCCCGCCACAGCATGATACGCCCGTCAAATATTGTTCAATTGTCATAAACAGTTTAGAGTGCAAGAAAATCATGTCAACCTTGACACAAGGATTTCAATGATTTTTGCATTCCTCGTAATATTTGTTTATACATCTCCTGTGGTGTAGGCATTAATTATAACATATATAACATTATAGATCTTCAACTGGTTGTGTAACACAACTTGTGTTAAAGCTTGACAAATGCCCATCTGCAGCCCCCCCCCCCCCCCCCCTTCCACCTTTCAGATTTGTGAGACATGATGCTCTGAATTTGTTGATATTTACAAAAAATTAATTAAAAATATCATATTAAACAATATCAATTTAGTCTTAACAACTTAATCTATATCAAATTATATCCAAAATAAAAGGCTGGCCATCAAATGACACAGGCTATAAACTGACAAGCAGTTCTTCTGTCTAATTCCCAAAGGATACAGATAAGAGCTGCTTTAGGTCTCACACAAGGAAATAATTTCACTATATGTTACTATGTAGCTTTAATTAAATTAATTAATTAATTAGACTCTCAGCAGATAATTCATGAAAGAGAAAATAAAGATTAATGCTGAGACAAAAATTTGAGATCAGAAAAAATACGCCTTATGCGGCTTTTAAGAAAGAAAATTGAGTGTAAACATACCTACCCTGAAATACACGTGGGTTTCACATGTTGACAAACAGCCTACACACCATCCAGGAAGTTGCATCATGCGCATCTAAAAAAAGAGTTCCCTGTAATTCAGTGGCACAATTCTGCTAAAAATATGATATTCCTAGTACATGAGTCCAAAATTAAAACTGTAGACCTAAAAAAAGTTGCCGAAAAGGAAAAAAGAAAAAGAAGTTGTCTCTATATATATAGAACTACAATTGACTAAGTTCATTTTGATTGGCTATTTCCTTGCGTAAGACCTTTAAGACAACTAAAAGTTAATGAAATTAAATGAAATTTGCATAAAATGTCTCTTAGTTATTTATCTTTCATATACCAGTGCATCAAAATTTATCTTTGTCCTTAAGGGATGAAAAATAGGAGATAACTCTTCCTAACAGATTATTGAATTTTAGGCTAAATTTCTATACAAATTCATCTACAGTATATTAATTTCAAAACTTAAAAAAAATCTTATGAGTTAATTATTGAGAAAAAAATTTGGAATGAAATGCAAGCTGAAATGTTGGGGTTTTTGGCTATCTGCTTTAAAGTTTTTTCATCTCTAATTAATAAGCTCTAATTACCTAAACAACAGGAAGTTTACTGATTTATAAGGAATTAATTAGCAAAAAATTGAAAATCTTAATTCTAAAACAAAGTCAGAGACTGGAAAAAATGGTGTCAAAAGAGACTTCAATAATGTACCTTGGAGCTTTGATAACAGTGATCACTGATTAATGGCTGGTGATTAAGATAAGGGGTTCTTTAGCAGTGGGGGGTGATGAGGCTTTTCCATCAGTCATCAAAGAATGGAGTTTCTCTTAGAAGACCAGGCAGCTCTAAAATAAATAAACAACACAAAAGTTTACAATACTTAAAAATGTGCACCACATACAATAGCATATATTACTAGAAAAAGTCTACAAGTGTACAGTTAAATAATAATCATGCCAAAAAAGGGACCAAAATGGTTGCATCAACATCAATACAAAAAAGGAAGTGTTCCTCACAACAAAGGCCAGAAGAATACAGGGACCACCAGCCCAGTCCAATTTCTAGTTCCCATAAGAAGACTAAGTAAAGAAGAGTTTCGGGACATTGTACAGCCACAGGAAAATGGAATGTTCGCAGTTACAGATGCCAAGAGCCGAAGCAGTGAGATGAAGATTTTGCGACCCGGGCCAAGTGAAGTCCAGCCTGTAGACTCCTACATGGAAGCTGTGTCAGATGACCCGAATTCAAAATTATACAAAGTACTTCACCAAGAAAAGACTGCTAAATTGTGGAACCATGCATTTAAAGAACACTCACATAAGTTTCCAGACTGTGACGGTTCACTGGACTGGAATCAGCATGGGGAGGAAAAACGAGGCCTGGCATGGATCCTTTCCATCCGATGTAAGAAGTGCCACTATACCAGTCACCGAGAAAAGCTTTACGAAGAGGTGAGGAGATCTGGAAGGGGCCGAAGAGCTGCACAGCTAAATGTGGCCATGGCTGTCGGTCATCTGGGTACTAGTCTTACAACAGAGGGTATGCGTGGTATGCTTCTTGGAGCAAATATTGAACCAGCATCAGCCGCCAACATGCAACAGACCTGCAACAAAGTGGGGATTATTATCACCAAAGTAAATAAAAACAGCATGAAGAAAATAAGGCAGAACATTCAAGAACTTAATGAAAAATGTGGACTTCCTGATACCCCTATCAGAGCGGAAGGAGATGCTCGGTATAATAATGCCACCTTTAGTGCCATTGGAAAAACCCCATTCCAAGCTGCCACCCAAGTGACTTATACCGTAAGTGAAAATGTAACTAAGAGGAAAAATGTTGTGGCAGTGTTCTGTGGGAACAAACTATGCAAGAAAGGCACACACCTACGAAGCAAAGGAAAGGAAGTTACCTGCCCAGGACACGAAGACTGCACTGCAACCATTCCTCCGGAGACCACCATTGGAGATGAGAAGAGATGGGCTGCAAACTGTATCGGGGAGTTACAAAGTGATGACCGTCCACTCGTCATTTCCCATTTCACCAGTGATGGAGACAGTGCCGCTGCATCTGGCGCATCTGTAAAACAAGGACATGTGATTGAAAACCTTAAAGACTTGCGTCACTTCTTTGACTCTCAAAGAAAACAGACAGCGAAGGCTCCATTCAGCAGTCACATGTTTCCGGGAAGAACCAAAGCCATAAGAGAATCCATGCAGAGAAGATTTGCCTTAGACTTGAAGCTTCGATGCAGGACAGAGTACGAGAATTGCTACAAACACTACTCCGGAGACTTACCTTTGATGAAGCGGGCTATGTCTACTGCTGTTGGTTCCATCATAAGCTGCTACCAAGGACAGTGCGGAAAGTCCTGTCAACTTCATTCCTTTTCCTGTCGTGGACTGAAAAGCAATAAGTGGAAATCTTCAGTGTTGCCTAGTGACTTTGAATTAAACATGACAGAAGATGACAAATGTTTGTTAAAAGACTGTATAAATTTGACTTTAGGACCAAGTAATCTTGACAGAATTAAATTTCATACTTGTACACAAAAATCTGAATCTGTGAATAGGGCATATTTAAAATCAAATCCAAAATGTATTACAAGTAGTAGAAATTTTGAAAGTAGAATACATAAAGTTGTGCACTCACTGAATAGGGGTCATGGAAACTCAACATTGGAACTTTGTGAATCTGTAGGGGCACCTGTTGTAAAAGGAAGTAGAGTTGTCCATCATCTAAAACAACAACAAAATAGGCAAAATTACTTTAAAATGAAACAAAAACTGTTAAAATATAAATCTCAAAGAAAATGCTATAGATCTAAAAGATATCAGCTGTACGATAAAAAATCTAAAGACACTTACTGTAAATCACTAACAGATCCAAAATTAAAAAGGAGGTTGTAAGATTGTAAAAGGGGGGGGGGGGGGGGGCATTGATGCTGTGTATTTAATTTAAATGTATAAAATTTGTATGTAATAAATATTTTGTGAATTGACTTACATGTAATAATTGTTGCTATGTATTATTATGCACTGAATCTATTCAACTGTGTAAATTGGGAAAATGTGGATATGTAAATGATGTATAATTGCATATGTAAAATGTGACATTTTCTTATACGAGGGAGTCTGTGCATGTAAATATGTTTTATTCTTAATTATTCATCTAATTAAAATTATTTTAATTAATAATCTTGTTTTTCTTACCTGTCTGATGAACACAACAAAGGTTACAGAGGTGATTGGTAGAAATACGGGTATATGGGTGTTGAAACTCTCCGTTGATGACCAGACTGCATGCCGCATTGTATATCCGCCATTTTTGATCTTTAAAAGGGGAGACTACTCCTGAAATCAAAGAAATTGTAGTCAAAATGAGAGTTACCTGTTCCTCTTTAGGTCTCACACAAGGAAATAATTTCACTATATGTTACTATGTAGCTTTAATTAAATTAATTAATTAATTAGACTCTCAGCAGATAATTCATGAAAGAGAAAATAAAGATTAATGCTGAGACAAAAATTTGAGATCAGAAAAAATACGCCTTATGCGGCTTTTAAGAAAGAAAATTGAGTGTAAACATACCTACCCTGAAATACACGTGGGTTTCACATGTTGACAAACAGCCTACACACCATCCAGGAAGTTGCATCATGCGCATCTAAAAAAAGAGTTCCCTGTAATTCAGTGGCACAATTCTGCTAAAAATATGATATTCCTAGTACATGAGTCCAAAATTAAAACTGTAGACCTAAAAAAAGTTGCCGAAAATGAAAAAAGAAAAAGAAATTGTCTCTATATATATAGAACTACAAGTGACTAAGTTCATTTTGATTGGCTATTTCCTTGCGTAAGACCTTAATCAGAGATCCTCTAACAGAAATGATTGAGACAGCTAGCCTTCCTACACTGAACTCATTAATTAATCTTTAACTGGATGCATGTACAGTCATTACTCCCAATGGATGAATGGATCTATACACACTATCTGCTTTGTAGTGCAATAAAAATGCATATTTATGTCATTCTGATTTTAAATTTGAAAACAAAGATTTTTTTTTTATTTGTTACAAAATTTATAAAAAGAAAAAAACTTGTGTAATCTTGATGCAATATTTTTAATAAGGTTCCTGCATTACTCTTAGATTTGTAGGGACTATCTACCATAATTAAAACATTTTTTTTTGAATACTTGATTATTTTTAGATTTAATGTCAGACTGGTTTTAATCTGCAATTCATACAGACAATGGGCATGCTGATTCCAACCCCCCCCCAACCCCCCAAACCCCCCAGTATAATTAGTTTTAATTATATTATACAATATCAATTAGTTTATCATACAATATCAAATTAATTTATTATACAATATCAAAGAAGTTTTAATTACTGTTCACCAAATTCAAGTTAGGCTAGCCAACTATTTAATCCAACAGGGCTGATTCTTTTTACCCAGTTCCCAAGAGATATAGATAACACCTGCTTGATCAGAGAAGTTCTACCAGTTAGCTCCTCACACTCAACACATTAATTTCTCTCTAATTTGACATGCAATTTTCTGTTATCAAATTCTCCTTGACCAGTGCTTGATAATTACACCCATGGGAGAGGTGGAATTTCTCTTGTAACATTACATTTGTTATAGATTGCTGTAAAGTATTTAATGGAAAAATAAGTATTTTCTTGATTTAACATATTTTTAATAAGGATACTGCAACACTCTTGCATTTTTTTGGACTGTATAATCTAATAGTAAAAAGACAGTTTTATTTTTAAATTTCACTTAAATTAAAGGTCACAGTGACCTTGAAATAGGTCGCAACACACCTTCTACCTAAGATGCATAAATTGGCCAAGTTTGATGATTCTAAGTCTAATAATTTTCTAGTTATGAGCCGGACAGGATTTTTCCATATTTGGCCATAGCATCTTAATTAAAAGTCAGAGCGACCTACTTTTAGTGCACAACACACCTTCTACCCAAGAAGTATTAGCTGACAAAGTTTGATAATCCTAGGCCTAATAGTATTAAAGTTATGAGCCGGACACAAGAAAAGCTAACAGACAGACAGATGGACAGACAGACGGACATGTCAACACCATAACATAATACGTCCCATCTAAAGACGCGCGTATAATAATAGAAAAATCACAATTTAAAATATTTTACAAAGGTCTGTGGCTGTGTTACATAAATACACAGGTATTCTAAAATGTTCATGCAATTATATTTATGTGACTTTTTTTTTAACGATTTTTTAGCAGTGAGACTTCTACTTTTGACACCCCCCCCCCCTCCCCGTCATGAATGTGGACAAGAGGATACAAAGAGGCATTCATATTATTTGTGATATATTTGAATTTCAGTAAATGATATTTTAGTAATATGCTGTCATACGTATATATAAACAAATTATACACAGAGAGAGAGAAAGAGAGAGAGAATTCTGTCTTAGCCCCCCAAATGCATGTACCTGTATCAAGCAAAGATTTCTTAGTTCTATTTTTTTTTAAATATATCAGGCAGTGTAAAAACCAATTCTTTATCAACAAATCAATTTGTCCTTCCATCACACTTTGCGTTTAGCTCTGTTCAAAGCTCAGTTTCAAAGAAACTATCCAAGATATTTTTATCAAACTTCATATGCTGATAGATATTGATGAGAGCTATGCAACTGCATCAACTTTTTTTGACCTTGACCTTTCTTTTGACCTTGACCTCACTTTTCTTAAATTAGTGTTTAGCTCAGTTTTAAAGATACCATTCAAGGTAGTGTTAGGCCAACATTTTTTTATTTTCTGTTTTACGGGAATTTTTTTTCAAAAATTTGAGTCGGGGGGTCGAAATAAAAATAAAAATAAAAGCTTGAAATTTAAGCAGTCGGTCAGAAAAATAAAAATAAAATGAAAAAATACAATGAAAATTTTTATTTTTAATTAAGGATGGAATTTTTTTCTATGACCTTAATTTGTTAGGAAAAAAGGGTTATATGAAAAACTTATGTGTACAAAACACAAAATTGGTACGTTAATGTATCAATGAACTATTTTAAATTTAATTTTCTCTTAGATATTTGGGGCAGGGGGTGCATTTCTAGTATGAACAGCTTGCAGTTTCTAATATTAATGAAAATCAAACATACAAATCTATAGTCTTCTCTGTCGTCAAATACATGTATCATAGTGTCACCACAGTAAAACTTATAGGACTTATGTCACACAGTCACACCCCTCATAAACTTTTTAGAATCTTTTATTTTTCGGTATTCAGCAAGTTACAAGATCTGAGGATTTTGGACTAGCTCTGGCAAAGTTATGGCAAAAATACAGTGAGACATTCAATGGATCAGCTAAAATAAATTAATTCACAGAATTACACGTGAGACATGATAAAAAGAAAAGTTGTATAATATTTTTGCAATGCAATTCAAATTAATACATATGTAGGTGGAAAAAAGTACCCCAATCTCTCTATTGAAAACACATTCAAACTTCCTCAATGTGTAGTAGGTTTGATCTCTTTTTATCCTTATATTTTTCTTTCTGAGCATGCTAACTTTCAACATAACTGTAGAAAATATGTACATCTTTCCCATAGTATACATATGTAAAATACACATGACAATATTCTGTTTACTGCAGAATTCAAAAATTTAGTGGTTGAAACTGGTTCTATAATCCACAACTTTTGAATGAAAAAAAGGAGCCAGGTCTTGAATTTAAATAATATTTGTAAGGGCGTATCATTTACAACAATACTTTTCCCTAGTGGTAAAAATGCTGTTTTACTAAACAAGAGACATAATTATACACTATATCAGCTGTTATTAATAGCTGATGTGCATTAATTTGTTATATAGCATGCAAAATTCCATAAAATGATAAAAAAGGAAATAATGTCTTGTATCAATCAAACATATATTTTCATAAGTAATTTTGAATTCCAATATTTGTCATTAAAACGGGTGAAAGTTGTGACTCGAATTTCCTCAGTCACGCCACTTTCTATCAGTTCTACAGTGTTCTGTTCTGTCCTTAATTGTAAGAGAAAACACTATTGTCTTAAAATTAAGTTTAAAAAAATCTTCAAGACGTATTTCAATGTATTGAAGCAACTGTCAAAGATAATACGTACTCAAAACCTTTCAAAACAAGCGGTTGACATGACAGAACCTTAATTTCCACATGGCCCTCTGCATGACATTTGATCAAGATTACTGTTTCGTCTATTTCATTCAATCTTTCATTAAAAGTTAATCTGAAAATTATACTTTTTCTAATATATGACATTGACATGTCACTTTTTTAAATGACTTTAAAAATATATGAAACCCTCCGATTCTGACATTTTGGCGCTATGCTGTGCAGTGACACTTTGAATACTGTGATTGGATAAATATATTTACCTCTGCCAATGACAAATAGCATTTTGAAAGGCTTGTGAAAAGTTTATTTATATTTCTTTTATTTTTTCAGTGACTATAAATAAACTATCGGCGGGAGAAATAAAAATAAAACTTGAATTAGAGACTTTTATTTTTATTTCATCTTAGCCCAAATTAGGGTCGGCGCTCCCGTAAAACAGGATATAAAAAAATGTTGGCCTTATCAAACTTCAAATGCTGAAACATACTGAGGAGAACTATTCAACTGCATCAACATGTTTTGACCTTGACCTTTCCTTTGACCTTGACCTCACTTTTCTTAAATTAGTGTTTAGCTCAGTTTTAAAGATACCATTCAAGATAGTGTAATCAAACTCCATATGTTGATACATACTGATATAAGCTATACAACTGCATCAACATTTTTTGACCTTGACCTTTCTTTTGACCTTGACCTCACTTTTCTTAAATTAGTGTTTAGCTCAGTTTTAAAGATACCATTCAAGATAGTGTTATCAAACATCAAATGCTGATACATACTGATGAGAACTATTC